GGGATGCTTGAGATTACTTGGTAATCGATAACCACAGTTATTAGTGGGTCTATAAAATATTTGGCTGCATCAAAAAATTTAAGTATCAAAATGTTTATACTTGATAACTAGGCAGTGTTGAGGAAGTCGTGTTTTCAGAAACTATGATTTCAATTATTTCAACTGTTGTGAGAAAAAAGCTTATGTAAGGAAATCGAAATAAATTTGCTCGCCTGATTTAAAATTAAGACCTAATTAGTAAGTAATGTAAAGAATAATAAGCTAGTATATTTAAAGTGTGAAAAGTGAAGAATAAATGCTTGGAATACCAAAGATAAAGCTACAGAAGGCTACTGAAAAGGTGGTGAGTCTTGCCTAGCTTCTTTACCAGCTAATCGCGATGGAAGCGAGTTAGGTCTAATGTTGCATTCAACTTGCTTGCTTCCATTGCAATTAGTTTAGTAAACTGAGATCTAATCATGAAATTTGCTCCATTTTCTTTGTTTTATTATTAATTAAAAACTTCCTCTGTATTTTCTTACCTTTTCAAAATTTGAGATCTTTTTTTTTCAACAATGGCAAGAACAATTTGAATTGTACTTTTGTTTCACATTTGAGCTGTTTAATTAATAACTTAATTAGTGCTGCAGCAGAAAAAATAATCACCCAAAATAAATGCAGCGGTGAGCAGTAAGTAATAAATTAGATTAGTGTAATCATTATTTTTACAAGAATAAGCATGACGTCAGTAGTAATCAAGATCGTTTCGTTTTTTTAACTTTTCAAGAGTATCACTTTATTTTTATTTATTATTTAGCTATTAAAAATCTTTTTCATTCAAATTAACATTTTTCAAAAGCTATTAAACACTTTTTTCCTCTTTAATTATCTCACATTTGTTCACTTTTTCGCTGCTTACAGAACTAATTTTCTATTTATTTTATGAATTGAACGAAGTGAAATTTTATAATTCGTACAGTTATGCACTGAAAATATCGGTAAGTTTATATGGTAAGTAATGAATGACAAAAGCACACATTTAATACCATTAATTAAGTTGGAAACGATTTGACAAGCCTCTGTTCAAATTGCAAATATAAATTCGCATTAAATTTTTAAACATTTTTCTTTGATATTTCACATTTCATTAAAGTATTTATTACTCACAGCTGAAATGAAAAACATTGTCACAAAAGATTAATTTATCGAAAAAAGTGTAAATAATTTGCAGCAATTACTTGAAAATTCAAATTTTTAAAGTAATTGCTGCAAATTATTTTCGGAAATTAATTTGAAATTATTAATTTTTAAGTATTCATCCAGAAGTCACTATTTTGAATTCGTTAAGAGCGCAGTATTTTCTTCAATAATACAATTGCTAAAAAATGTTCTCAGAAATTTAATCGAATGAAAACACTATAACGAACGACATCACATTTTATTTTGACTTTGTTTCAGCCACTGCTGTCGCAACAAAATAATCTGATTAGACGTGAAGGATCGGTGATTACTACACGGTTTTAGCGTACATTTAGCGTCACACGGATTTGGTTTGTATGGCACACAACAGCAATAACATTTGGTGCCAATACTTCAATGCAATATTCAAATACAGAACAGAAGTGTTGTACAATTTTATTGTAAAAATAGTGCTAAAATGAATAAATAAGAATATTCTAAGTCATATCTATTTCTATTTATAATTTGATTGATAACTCACTTAATGCAATTCAACGGCTTTAGATCCCAAATTTGTTGACGGATTAATGGTGGTACTATGGCACCAAGAAAATCAACCGATGTTGTGTACCTGTAATAAAATTTGTTATTTTTGATTTGTTTTTTGTTAGCTTTATTCTTTTTTCATTTTCAATGTCATTGTTTGTCTTCATACTATTCTTATTCACAACTTTAAGATGTACAAAAAATTCTGAAAAGGATAAACAGCGAATTGCAATGTGAGTGTAAAATATTTATGAAGCATCTTACTATTGCCACTACAATTAATTATTATCAAGCAAGCAAGCGATTTTTGTAAACTTTTGAAATTTTGCTAAATATCCGAATTTTATGACTTCTAGAATTGTATTGGTAATTTATGCTTCTAATTTGTAATATTGTATAGTACTTTTATTTCATGTTAAATATTACTTTAAATATATCAACCTGTAAGGACATTTATTCTTTCAATTATCATTCACTTAAACGTCAAACATTTTAGTTGGAAAGGTACTGTAATACCTCGGTGGCCATACTTGGCATTTCCCAGCATAGTAAGCTTGCGATGTCATCGCACATGCTTGCTTTTCCGTTGGTAAATTGCAAATGCGTTCAGCAATGCCAAATTTATTTTCACTGCAGTTTATACAAATTAATAATTTAAATTATTATAGTAATTGTGCATGCCATTTTTCTTGCATAATTTTGCTAATGTGAATTTGATAGTTTTGCAAAAACACTGCTAACGGTGTAAGCAGGAAAAAAGGCAGCCAATTTCGAGCATAAAAAACTATTTTTCAAGGATATAAAAGTAAGCAAACATTTTATAAGTTTTACAGAGTATTACTTTAATTTTATTGCATTTCAGTATCAGTCATTTGTGAGAGGATGACAGAATTATTATTTTATCTTTTTAAAAAATAATGGACGAAAAATATCTCTGTAAAATTGCGATAACTATGTATTATTTTAATAATTAATTGTTTATCATCCTTATTTATAGCTAAACTCTAAATCTATGATTAAAATCGATATACCCCGGAGAATTATCACAAAAGGCACTGCATGCTAGCTGAATATTGCACATGCCGCATGCATTTGCGGATTTGTTGAATAATTCAGCGTAATCCATCACTTTTTGTACAATTGGCGCACCAATTGAAGTTATCAGCTGATGGTATTGTTATGAAAAGAGAAAAGTCTTATGTTATCACTACCAAACAATATTTATGATGGAAACATTTGTGAAATTATCACTTTTAAGATTATCTAGAATAGGTTTTTTACATAAACATTGATGAATACGCTTCAAAGAATATTTGATTTGGAGTGATGAGCTTTCTACCGTTAAATTTTGCGCTGAATAATTTGTTAAGGCTTTCAGTTGCAAATAGAATGCTTAACTTCACATTATGTTTATTTCTTAAATAAAATGCAAGTAATGATCTCATAATTTGGTCTTTATGACTGAAAATTTCTGGAAATCGCAAAATTAAATTTAAATCGAAGATAAAGTAGATGTTACTGGTATGCTTTGTACTTTTTTAAACCTAGGCCTGAGTAACTATTAAAGGTTTTTAAATTCGATTTCAAACAATTGGACAAGCCTTATTGCCTTTGAAAACTATTAATTTTATAGAACAATTAATTATGAACAGTAGTAGTGTCAGTTTTTCTTTTTTGACAAAAATACTAAAAAAGTAATTCTATGATTGATATAAGTTCTTATTTACTATAGCAAATTAAAATCTAATATATCATGCATTCTTAAAATGGTTACTAGAAATTACTGGAATTTTTCAGATACAATATGTTTTGATCACTTCACGGAAGTAATGCGTTTATTGAAATCAGCTAATTAGTAAACAACAAGATTATTTATTAAGATGAATAGTAAAACGTCTTAGATGCTTCCATCAGAAAGTATCGTTATGGTAAGTATATTATTTGCTGTTAAGCAATTTTAATATTATGATAAGTAAGACAACTTAAACTCAATAAATATTTTTTGAAATAGTGCAGTCAAAGTTACACAAAACAAATTTTGTATTTAAATTAGCTGACGCACCGACATGTACCGATTACGGTAGCATTGTTCTGGAAGTGTGCTCCAAAATGAGCGGTCGTTGGTACTAAAACAGGGCCCATAAAAACTCCAATCATAGCAGTTTGCTGTTCGATTACTGCCAGAAATAGTAGAAAATGCTGATGCTAGAAATGCTTTTGCATTCCCAATTAGCCAAAAGTGAAATATTGACAGCAAAAGAAAGTACTGTGACCTCTGCATAAAATTCATGTCATGTAATCTGAAGAATAAAGTTAAAACTGTATTAAATTCAGTATTAATAACAAAGTTATTGTAATCTAGATTAGTGAAAAAATGCATAATATATAGATCAAGCCCAAGTATCTACCTTGGTATAAACTTCTGAAGTCAGTAGTATATGATAAATGTTTCCATTTAGCAAACAGAGCAACAAATTTTTAAATATTTTTAACAAATGTCTGCTCAAAAATAATATCATCGAAAATACTGGTAGTATAATATTTTTTCAAATTATTCAAAAAGAATGCTTTTAAGTAATCCTGGCTTGAAAATACTAAAAAGTAAGAATGATATTAAAGAGATCAAAGATAAATATGTGAATATCATCGAAGAGAGGATTGGGTGATAGCACAAACATTCATTTATCAGTGATAATTATTAACTATCAGGTCGTTAATGACTTTAAAAACAGGTTTATAAATTTTTGAAACAACAAATTACTTCACTAAAGAAAGGTGTTGTCATCTATTATCGTTGTCTGTTTAACATTAAAATTCAGAAAGTTAAAAAGTCATGGCAAGCTGAGCAACTTCTTTTAGTTCAAAATCAAACTTTCAAAGTAGTTTAAATGTTTGCTGCTCAAAGCCAGAATCACCATTTAGGTATAAGTTTATAAATACAAATTTCAAAAAAGTTATCAGCCTAATAAAATTTTGTATGCTTTTATATTTTTTGGTACTCATGACTGAATGTGGCATTTAGCAAAATTGTGCTATATCATTCTTTCGAATTTTATTTAATTTATTAATTTTCAATCAACTGCTTGAATTTGGCTTTTATTACAGTTAATAAAGTATATTTTATATGAGTAATCAGCAATAATATTTACTGTTGCAAAAAGTTACTTCTGTTAAATTATACAAAGACGTGATAGCCTATATGTGCCACAAAACTGAACACCATCTGAATTGCGAGTACAAAATACTTCCATCAAATCATTTAACTTTAAGCTTTTTAAAAGTGTTCTTAAGTTAGCAAACAATTACAAAACAATTATAATTTTTGGATTTCTAAAATTTTATACAATTCACCAAAGTATTCACTTAAAGACAAATTAATTTTTGATGCTACTAAAAGTGTTGCAACAATATTTTGTCTGATTATCGTTTATGCTAAATTTTTTGAGTTTTTAACCCATCTAAAAGCTGAATAAGTCATAC